TTAACTGTCAATATACTGTTTATCAAACACCCACAAACAGTATACACATACTATAGCTACATCGTTGAAAACATTAAAAAAACAAAGGCGATCAGTTTGTTTCCTTTATTAAACAACTCAGAGCAAATTTGTAATTCCACCTTTATTGAAATTAGCTTGGTGTGTCACATTTGACCAGGCAATGCTCGATCTAGCGTGATAAATCACCATGACAACGTCAAACGCAGCTCGCACGCTGTAAATATAGGTGTCGGTTTCACCGTTGAAGGAAATATCTAGTTCGATTTTTACTTCATGCTTAAGTTGCTCTAGTCGTGTTTATCTTTTCATTTCAATTCCTACCAAGGTGGTTAAACAATTGTCGTTTGTCAGCGTGATATGTACAAACACCATGTACACAGTGTAACGCTGGTGTGCTTTACGTGCCGTGAACGATAACATGGCTGTCTCGCTAACGAATGAATAGTAATTTGTTGCACAGATAAAGCGTTTTCAAGTGTTTTAACGTCCTTCTGCATGTGTTACGTCGTACAGTTTTATTTCTCCGCTGACAAAAACATATCTCCGTCACTATTTCAAAAAGTTTTGAGGTTTAGATAGATATCTGAAGAAAACGTTGAGCGACGACGTACTGTGAAAGAGAATTGGCGGGAAGTCACTGGGATGAACATAAGTCAAGCACAAACAAACGTATAACTTTTTGTATCTTGTAATTTAATAGGTAAAGCCTGCGAAATGGACGCAATGAGTTTTACCGGGCCAACAACCGAAGACGCGATCTCACTGGATCCAGTGGGTAGCACTACGGACATAGCCACCACTATATACGGCGGAACGGATTACTACGGCTCCACTACAGATGTCAGCGAGGTACAAAAAGAAACCAAGAGCGAGCGAGCCGTTCCTAAGTTCATTGATCACAGAGTCGCGCTAATGGGTATTAAAACCAAGAAAAAGAAAAGCAAAAGCAAAAAGGGTAAGTTGAGGAAAAAAAAAACACTCTCGAACGACGTCATAGTTACCTGTGATTCCCAAGTCGGAATCGACTAGTCAATTTTCCAGAAATTATAGGCGTAGTGTGTAAATGTTACTACATGTATGAAACTAAACGTACTCACTTCAAAATGCATATACTATTTGAGTAATACTGATATAATGCCTCAATGAGCAGGGCCTACATTCGTCGCACAACGAATGTTGCAAGTACGTGAAAAGTGTATTTAACACATGACGTGTTATATGTCGCATGGGACCCAGATCTATCAACACGCGGCGTGACGCGATTGCTGTTGGATTTTTACATGAATTGAGCAGGTAGCTGCATTATATCTCCATGGTTATATATAGCATACTAGCTAAAACTAACACAATGTAAAGAATATATAATTAATTGAGAAGTACGAATTATTACACTTATAATTATAGTACTGGAAATGTATGCATTTTATATTCAACTTAAAAAATGAAATTTAAAGAAATTATATAATCAGTGTGAATCAGTTAAAATAATCATGGACAATAACCTGGAGATTGGGTTTGTTTCTTGTACGACGACAAAATATGAATGAGCGTGAAAAAAAAACGCCATGTTGGTGTATCGTGGTGTAGTCAGTACATATACCATCTGTGCTGTGATCTTCGTCATTGTACAATGTTAAGCCGTTTCATTCGCCATTAATTATGCTCCAATAAGTCGCCCACGTAGTCAGTACTTATTTCCGCCACATGTCTCAGACGTCTGTATTTAGCACAGCGTGACATACAAAATTACATGCAAGATTACGTGTATTGTTGAATGAGGGAAATTTGATAATAAACATACTCGGTAATTATTTGTATTAAATAAAACCCATATAAGTGCAAACGTATGGAGAGAAAACTGGGAATGTTGTAACAAAAAAGATATAGCGTTTACTACCATGTATGTGTACCCCGGCCAGGTAATGTTGCTAGGTTTATAGATTAGCTGGGAGCTATGAGGAGATGTCTAAACTAAGTTAGAGGTTTCTCGATTGCTGTACGTTGAATTGACAGTTGTGATCGACACACTACAAAGTAACTGAGTATCAATCGCCAATTGAAATCGATGTATTTTTATCACAGGAAAGCCAGTGGTTAGAAATTGAAATTTGTCTTTCTTTTACGCGGCGCAACATAAAACAATATTGATATCGCAGCGACCTGTTTTGTTTTGTTTAGTAACTATGGCAACACATTCGTGGCGTGTTGGTACGTGAATATGCCACTATTAAATCTGCCGTACAATAAAGAATGTCACTTTATATTTTAATTCAAGACTCAATAAGTGAACGTTTTCAATTTAAAAGCTTAGAGCATTTACGTTTAATCCTTTTGTGCTGATTAAATACTTCATAGATGTCACAATCATAATACTATAATCTAGTATTTTTGTGAATTAGAAAGAAATAATTATTCTATCAGTTGTTCATTATGATATTGATTGGCCGCGAGACATTTCTTGGTAATGTGCACTGTGATTGTATCACACTGTGAATGTCGCACTAAATTCTTGAAAATGTGCACTCTGATCTGATTGTGTCACAGTGCGAATGTCGCACTAAATTCTTGATATTGTGCACTGTGATTGTCACACTGTGAATGTCGCACTAAATTATCCGATATTGCCGTATTTCGTTACCGCACAGTTAAGTTTATTTAAATTCGACTTATTTGGTAGTGGGTAGTAGTGACTGTGACAGAGACGCCCAGTGTTTTATACAATTCATTGTTACGTCAGATCACCCGAGCGTGTACATGCATCCATACATTGGGCGGGGGGGGGGGGGTTAGTTCTTTTACATTTACGTTATACATCACAGCCTTTATTTATTGTATCTTACAGACGCTACAGATATGTGGACTAATTGCACCAAGATAGCCAACGTAATTGAGGGGGGATCCCTCGTCTAAATCTTGCCTCACAATCTTTGCGCAATACCTTCTCTGTGGTCCATAATTAAACTTACTATGAGAAGCAGTTACAGTGTATTGCCACCTACTAGTAGTTTATATTGGAAGCCCTTGGCTTGTGACGTAATTTGTGTTAAATGTGAGATGTTTTTTTCCCATACACGAACATTGCCGAACATTTCCATACCATTACCGTTAGGGTGTCATCATGTCCTCGAATCGGGTTCAGAATTTTCTGAACGGCAATTTCACGATGACCATCTGATAATATCAAAATTTCAAATGAAGTTACCCATTAAAGGGCAGTAGTCGTCGCGCTGCGCATGTGTGACATGTGTGTTGTGTTGTGTTGTGTTGTGTTGTGTTGTGTTGTGTTGTGTTGTGTTGTGTTGTGTTGTGTAAAGATTGATTTCCCCACAATCCAATATGCTCTTCTAAAGTATGAGGTCTGACCCGGGCGCGACTTGCACTAGTTACAGCCGGTGACTCCCTCGATACCTTACAATCACCTAAAATACATAATTAAAGCTTAGTAACGTCTGAGTGTGTACTCGTTGATCTGCGCAACAGTCAAAGTCACCATCTTTGTTAGTATGGGACCCATATATCTCGCGCATGCGTGGCGCGACGACTACCGCCTTTTAAGATTAGTCAACATTGTCCATCTTGTTCGGTTTGTTTCCAGTATCAGCTTTCAGGACTCTATTACTCACCCAATCTTCAAGTCTCGACTGTTTTCTGTCGTTGGTGGCGTGGCTGAGGCTCCAACATCAGTCTCTGCCACAGGTGACATTTTTCCCCTCGTTCTGAGAGATTACGCGTTCTTTTTTTTTCAAATACGTTATAATTTGTTTATTTATTTAAAAAAAAAACATTTTCTCAAGCCAAAATTCATCGTGAATAGCCACGGAAACGCTGCCAAACGCAAAAAGTAGGCCCAATGGCGTAACGACGCTTTCCGTGGAAGGTTCAGCGAACGAAATGAATGGGATTAGCAATGTAATTTGAATAAATCGCAGAAAACGAAACATCACACAAGTTTTCTGGTTAAGTGAGGTCATAATGATCTGTTTTTCTTTCACTGTACCTGTGTGCTAAGAATACAAGAATATCCGAATTCACTTGTTACCTTGTTCAAATGAGTCTCAACAGCTATCCCCTGTGATGATTGCCAAGCGGTGAAAATGCCCGGATGACAACCCAAGAATTTTCAAATTCACCAATGGCAGAGACTAATTCATCGCGTTAGGTCGATGCTTAGAGAATGGTTGCCACCGTGACTACGAGTGAACTTCACGAACTAACTTCCTAGGTTCAGTATGATTCGTACGCCCAAAGCATGACGGGAATTATTGTAATATTGCATATAATTACTGGGTCGTTAAACGGAGAAATATGCCAGGGATTTCAAGAAAATGTTGCCGATCATACAACATTTTTGGCAACAACATAAAATAAAATAAAAATTGTATCGATATGGTAACCAGCTCAATCGTGTCATCTAGTACAATCCAGAGCTAATTTAAAACTAGAAATTGACAATCAACAAAATGTTAAAATGCATTGACCATTAAATCTGAAAGAAACTTTAAAAATAGGAATTTATTATAACCTGACTTGAAGGTATCAAAACTATTGCAATTTCTAATGTAGCCTGACAAGGTCGCGTGAGTTGCGCCCTCCGCGGTGCTCCTAATGTTGAGTGGTATATAAGAGCCGTACGATATGAAAAGGTTACTTGACTCATAGCACATTTAAACTTCCGAAGTGACAAAACGAGTGAAAGAATAACGTAAATACATTGCAGATATAAGAAGCTGCGAGATTGTAAACATGTTATTGCTTTTTTATATCTGGTCAGACAATTATCACAACATAAAGCCCCTAGCGAGATTACATTTCTAGCTATATGTATCACTGGATATGTGCCATAGATGTGGCTGGCTTCTTTTATGTATATGACCCAGTACGGAGGTTAAATTGTATGTTACCTTCCAAGGTTCCAGTTAGCAGCCATGCAATGAAGTGCGCCACCCACCGACGTATCTAGTATCTTTAGCTGCCGGTAGAGGGCGTATTACAGTGGCTCTGTAAATCATTGCATAAATTTCGACAGTGTGCATATATTATACGGGATACATGCTCTGACTGATCGGAGTGAATGAAAAACACGTGTATGATGTTATCGCCTGAGTGGGAAAGGATCAAGATATATTGAAGAAAATACGAGAACAATTTAATAGTATTATTGACCCTTCGTCACTATACCCGCTCTAGACCAGTACAGCTATATTAATACGAGCATGGGGCTACATAAAGATGGCGCCTTGGTTCCACTATTTATAATTTCAGCAGAAGGGAAGGCATTGTCAATTTCGACAAGATTTTGTATTTTACGCTGCGTTGTCGTGGTACATGTCGTGTGTCAACTTTGTATTCAATGACGTCCAACTAATTATGCTAGTTAATGTGTTTACCATAGAATGTAGCAATTCATGTAGATTATGAAAATCAACTTTTAATATCCGAAAATACGTTATAGTTTTTTCTTCTAAATGAGCAATACATTTTCTGAAATTTCTGCGGTGAATACTATATAATATTACAATTAATTTGCCACTGCCCCAACAACACGTACACACACTATTTCTTTTTCCCGTATCAAATGTACAATGTAGTTTTAACATATATTATCTGTCGTCTTCTGAGTTATCATGGTTCGAAATTATGCAAAATTAAGGATCAATGTAATTTCTGAAATGCAGGGCGCTATAGTCATTTGTATTTTGGCCACGATTTTTAAAACTACCATTATATCGAAACGGACAATAGGGCGTCTCAGTCTTTAAATATATTTTTTTCTTGTTTCTCGTAGATGGGAAGAGCTTGCCGCTGAAAGACATCGAGAACGCCATAGCAGCGGAACTTAAAGAGCATCGCCAGACAGAGGAGGAAAGGATCGTTAAAGAGGATCAAGAGAGACCTCATCCTGAATTACATGCCGCCTATCTGAAAACGGAGACCAATTTGCTCACTTCACTTGGACGAGTCTATTTTGAACGAGCAAAGGTGACAAGGGATGGGAGAGACTATATCAAGGCAGCAGCGTTGTACAATGCAGCGCTTGTCAGGTGCCGGATTATACAAGATTTGCAGCCAAACGTTGCGAACATTGAGAAAAGGTTACATGATATAGAAAGCACGTTTCTGATTAGTGTCGGTGGGGATAGAAGTGGGAAACACCAATTAACTCAGGGAAGAGGCACCCCACGCCACTGTATCTTGCTTGAACGCTTGAGAAAAGAAAGCGAGAAAGAACTGGATAACTTAGAGGCCAACTGTGATCCATCAACTGCTGGTGGTGATGACGAGTTACAACATTTGCAGAAAATGAAAAGGGTTCGCACGACACGGTGTCTTTACCGGGATATCTCGTATAAAATTCGGAATGTTATAAAGGCGCTTGTTGAGCAATGTGTATCGCAGCTGGGAGTGCCACCGTGCACGTATGCTGTTATCGGTCTGGGACCGATGGCCAGGCACGAAATCACGCCGTATTCTGAGATCGAGTTTGCTATACTGTTGGAGGAAGGAGTGGACAGTGAACAGATTAAAAAATATTTCCGGAACTTGACGTATTTAATGCACTTGAAAATATTAGAGTTGGGGGAGACGTCCCTGCACAACGTTGCAATAAAATCAATGAATGATCTTCTGAGTCCATACGGTGATTGGTATTACGATACGACCACTCCTAGAGGAATAGCATTTGACAGTGCCATGCCTTGGGCATCCAGGACGCCACTCGGCAGAGAAAAGATTGGAAAGCGGCGGGCAGTCGAGTTGATCCAGACACCCGAAAGCTTAGCTATGTTGCTCACCGAAGCATCTAATGATGTTGAGGGAAATTCGTTGGCGAACAGTCTAAGTCGTGTCTGTTTCATCACGGGGGAAAAGTCCCTAGACATCGACTATCGTAGCCGAAGGTCAATATTGTTAGAATCGTCAAGGACCACTATGAAAACTGAACTTGAAAGTAACAGTAATTTCACTTTCCCAACGATTGCCAGTGAGAGGGCGCGGTCTGTACTCCTTAAATTAGTTACCAATTATGCACTAGGAATCGAGGGAGATAAGAAACGATACGTCGTGGGTAAAGATATGCGAAAATTCATAGACATTGTGTACGCGTTAGCCGATTACTTTGGCGTCTCTTACAACAGTCCTTGGAGTGCCGTCGACGAACTTCGTCGAAGGAAAATCCTCACATCCGAGGCTATGAACAACCTACACGTGGCGATTTCATTTATCATGGAACGGCGATTACGTCATTTTATCCAGCTACACGACGCAGAGAAAATGGGTGATCCCTCCAAGCTACTCGACACGTTCACCGAAGTCACGTCACTAGTTCGTTTCTTCAACGTCATGATTCCACTATGCGATGCAGTACAGCGCATAGTTCTGCAAAATGGTCCGGATGAGCCAGTAAATCAAGCCGCTTTGATAGGCAACCCACTATTTGACAATTCATTAAAGACACGCGTACAAATACATTTACGACTGAAGCAATTCGTTGAAGCTGAGATATGCCTCAGACAGTTACTAGAGGAAAATCCTGACGACCACGCCCATTTGGTCAGCGTTATTTGCGTCATCTTTAAAACTGGTAAATTGAACAAAACAGATGAAAAACCCGAAGGAACAGCTTCTGACAGTGACCGATCGCTGAAAGATGTAATTCGAAAACCGTTAAAAAAGAACATCTCTCCCAGGTCTCGAATAATTAAAAACGCCAAGTTCAATGTGGGCAAAAACTTCTCTCCTCGATCTATTATTCCCAAGGAAAAAATCGAGGAAAAACCTTTGGATGTAACGGCACTCAATGTTCAATCGTTACATCTGAGTCCGCATCATGACGAGAATAAGAACCCGACGAGGGTTTTACTCAAACGACTAGAAACATTCGATGGGCTTAAAGTGCTGTTGAAACAAGCCGAAAACACAATTACTGGATTCATCGATTCCAATCGAAGAGCTAATGCGAACCCCGAACTGGCTGTACTTGTCAACAATCTGGCGGTGGCGTGGTACCATTTCGGAGATCCCAGGAAAACGCTTATGTATTTTCAACGATCACTGCAGTTATGGAAGGAAGTTTATACAGAAAGTCCGGTACACAGTAACATCACTGATATCCTCAACAAGATAGGTATGATGCAGTATGAGCTTGGCAAATCAGAGACGTCTCTTGACTTCCACATGAAAGCGTTAGAGCTTCTTGTCAAGCTGTCAGGTGGTAACAAGGTGGACCCCGAAATCGCGCAGACGTTGAATTTACTTGGCCGGGCCTATCGAAGTATGAGCGCTCCTCATAAAGCCGTCGCATGTCATGATGAAGCGATACACATTTTTCGACGTATCCATAGAAACCAAGTTGCACACCCCGACGTGGCGCAGACAATTGATCATCTCGGCTGTACGTGGAATAATTTTGGCGATATGGAGAAATCGCGATCTTATCACGAAATGGCGCTAGACATGTATAGCAACAGCCAAAGTGACATTTCTCTAATCCAAATTGCCGATTGCATGAGCCATATCGGAGATTGCTACCGTGGCACCGGCGATTTCAAAGAAGCAGTCACACATTATGCCCGTGGTCTAAACTTGTACGAGTACATCTTTGGGAAACAAATCCCGAATTCTCGAGTTGCAAAAATGCGTACTAACATCGGAAAAGTATGGGAATCTCTGGGCGAACATAAAGATGCAATCAGTTATTATGACCAGGCATTGGACTTGTATAAGAAAGTATATGCAGACGACTTCCCACACCCCGCCATTGCGGCATGTTACGGTGAGCTTGGCAACTCTTTTGATTCAATGGGCGAGTATACCAAAGCCATCAGTTATCACGAGAAAGCATTAAGTGTGTACCGACGTCTTTATGGCAGTGATGGTGTAAACCTGAATGTTGCCAAGACTCTCAGTGATCTTGGCAACGCGGCATTTGCCATGGGGGACAGTCACAATTCGATCAGTTACCATGAACGCGCTTTGAAAATGTGCAAGAAAATTTTTGGCGAGAAAACTGCGCATCCACATGTCGCCTCTTCATTGGTCAACCTCGGTTCGGCATGGGGCACTCTCGGTGAATATCCGAAAACGGTCGACTATTTGGAACAGGCCTTAGATATGTATCGGCGAATATTTGGGCAGGCGCGCCCGATGCACCCAGACGTATCAGCATCGCTCAGTAACCTTGGTAACGCATGGGACGCCCTAGGAGATCCAAAGAAAGCCGTCGAGTATCACGAAGACGCGTTGCTGATGAAGAAACAAATTTATGGGGAAGACGTTGATCACCGTGATGTAGCTTGGTCGCTAAATAATTTAGGAAATGCCTACGATTCGTTACGTGATTACAGTAAATCAGAACACTATTATCGACTTGCTCTGGACATGAAGGTAAGACTATTCGGAGGTGACAACCCTAACCCCGATGTTGCCCGCTCTATGCACAATATTGGTAATATATTAGATAAAAAAGGCGACGCCAAAGAGGCACTCAAGTATGTGGAAGCCGCCCTTGGCATGTACAGCCACATATTACCATACGGAGCAGTACATCCAGACGTGGCCCAATCGTTGCATAGCATGGGGCTGATTCAATCGCACCTGGGAAACCCTGAGAGGGCGATACTTTATCACAAGGAATCCCTAATCATGAAGAGATTGATTTACGGCGAGAACACAGCGCACGGTGACATCGCTTACTCGTTGGCCGAACTAGCGATACTTTATTACAACCTCGGTGATGTCGACAAAGGACTTGCGTATTTTAACGAAGCCATTGAAATGGCCAAATTCGTGTTCGGGGAGGAGCATCCTGAATATTTGAGAGTGAAAATAATGCATGACAACTGCTTGGCAACTGTCATCAGAAATCGGACAAGGAGCACATGAAATTTCTGACGAAACTTCAAAAGTTCGCGATTTTATTTGGTATGGTCGAATTATTTAGAAACCTTTTTGAATACATAATTACTGTGACTGACAAATATTGAGACGTCGTGATGGCACAAGGATTTACATGATTATCGGGGGGGGGGGTGTCATGAAACAGCAGCGTCCCAAAATAGCAATATTATGTGGCTATTCGGGGATGTATTACTAATGTCTGACAGGAGAGAGGACGCCGTCACAATCATATCAGAATTTTACATACAGTTTGCGGGTATTTTTACGACATTTTGCATTTAACCTTTTTACTATATTTGAGATTACGTATCTATACACCAAATATTCTCTATTTTAAGCAATATGCGTTTTTTTTCCTGAAAATCCATTTACACTTACCACGCGCTACTATAAATCCAATTGATGCAAAACAGAGAATATTTTTCGAATAAAAAAAATCGCTATATATAGCAGTGAAAATACACTTTTCGTTAAGTGCCGCATTCTTGCGAAAACGTCTTTCTGTGACGTCAAACTGACTCAGAGTTGTAACATAATATTTTTATTCGCAAGTTTAAAAGGCAATTAACATTGCATTAAAGCGGGAGGGTCGTCACCTGCGCACGCGCGGGAATTGATTCCCAAACGACGATAACAACGCACGCTAAAAACGCAAAGGCTCATGGGTACACGCTTGTTTGTAAACAATGACACGCTATGGCCATCTGACGCATGCGCAGGTGACAACTCCCCCACTGTTTAAAGATATGTACACAAAATAAATGAAAACATTTCTTGAAAGAAGCGAAAAACTAAAAATTGAGAGTCTTTGGTAGCGATTCACATCGTATACATTTCAATTACGAGAAAAGACTTCTTAACTACAGTACGTAATTAAAATTGACTTTGTTAGAGTTATTATAAGCAAATACTTCAACTTATTCATCAACATCATTCCTGTGTTAACCATCATCTCCATGAAGCATGTAGTCCGGGTACTCTAGTAGTTGTCCTGCAACAGTGGATATGGCATCTTTGATGCACCAAAGCGATATAAAGTTATTCAGAGAACGAGTCACCATGTTGTAGTTGTATTCATTTCTCAACCTTTGCTTGATTCTGGTTTTGAAGAGTTCTTTCATCTTATTGACCCTGGTCACGTGGATAGCTGCTTTCATGGTGGTGATGGTATAGCATAAGAGACTCTGACCTGGAGTTGCTCGCTTACTTGGTGGACATAGTACTGTATGTATCAGAATAGTTGAACTTTGTCAATGTCAAGTAGTCTGCGGATGATTATTTTGAAAAGTGATGTCAATCTTGGACACTCGATGAAAATGTGAGTGGGTCATCAGATTCATGACAAAAGAGACATGCATCTGTGTTACTTAATTTGGACTTAATCAAAAATCTTTTGTGATCGGAGCGAGGTAGCAGTCCTTGAAATTGGGGATGTATCTCCATGGTTGAAAGATAAAATATCCTTGCTTGCGTCCTGAATTTTTGCTTTGTTACGATAAATTTGTAAATATCTTTCTTCTCAAATTTGTATATTTGTATAGTTTTCCATTTTTCCTGTACAATGCTTATGTATGTACAATGTTGAGGGCGATTGCCAGCAATCTTTTCGAATAAATAGAAACGGATCCATGTAATGCTGCAACATTCAACCAAATCTCCAATTTTTGTCAATCTGGATTCACGAAAGTGCAACAGATTTAGTGCTTCGTGCTGCAATGGGTGCAAAATCAGATTGTTGAAAAACAACGGATCTTCACCTACTCCTTGATAAGTATGTGGTTCACCAGGTTTTCAATATCGCACTGTTGGGTAAGTAAAAGAAGCTGATACCATCAGCTTAGGCGGTGAGATTCACGTGTTCTCCACCAGAGTAATTTACTTCAACACCATTTATATCGCTTTTGGTTCTTATTTTATGCAGAAGTGGTTTTATTGCAATAGTATAAAGTTGACCGGAGAGTGAACAACCTTGGCGTATGCCACGTAAAATCGGTATGGGCTTGTAAGGGTATTATTGATGAGTACAAGATTATGTGTGCCAGTATATATCAGTTTCATTTATTTTAAAAACTGATTGCCAAAACCAAAGGCTTCAAGTGTTTAAACAGATAACAATGATTCATTGGGTCAAAAGCTTTCTCTTGATCTAGTGCGACAATACGTAATTACGTCGTGCGCGAGGTTTGCCTTCCAGGTATGGAATAGGTTTGATCAACATGAATGATGTTACCAATTGCGGATCTTAGCCTAATTGAGAGTGCTTTCAATAAAATCTTGTAGTCCGCACATCAAAGACTCACTGGTCTCCAGTTCTGCAATAAGCAGTTGTTGCCCTTATTAGGAAAAGGAACCTTACCGTCCTCAAGGGAAGCAGTGATTACTTGGTGGAGGTCGGGAACCAGAAGAGAACAGAAGTGCCTGTAAAACCCACCGGGGTAATACATCCATGCCTGGAGTTCTACCTTTAGACAACAGAAAGCTCACCATATGACAAAATGGCATCACAATCCTCTTTCAGGCGTTTTTTTAAGTTGAGGAGGATCTTCTAAAATGATATTTTGAGACTCAACTGACACCGGACCAGCAGAAAAGAGGTCGGTATAAAATTGTTTAGTTAGCAGCGTATTTCGGCCTGGGGAGTCAGTGGTTGTATCGTCTGGCTTTCGTAGTTGGGTCATAATCTTTTGCTGCCAATGTGTTTTCAATGTTAAAGAAAAAGCAGT